GGTGTACATGTTTCGGTCTAGGTTGTATAGAATTGAATTTACATTCAGTGTTCGGCTTCTAACTCTCATTTTACTTAGTTTTGATGTTTACTCAGTTTGTGGAAGGATTGATATAACAAGTAGTGCATGTCTACTGTAATTACTGATTTTATCACGGTACTTTTCAAGTATTACCTTTTCAAGATGTGAACCCTGAGACCAGACTGTAATGTTTGAACCACTCACATCAGGAAGGACCCCTGCTCTTTTTGATAAGTGTGAGTGTACGTTTCTTTAACGGTCTAGGTTGTATGAAATTGAATTTACCTTCAGCGTTCGGCTTCTAACTCTCATCTTACTTAGTTTTAATGTTTATCCAGTTTGTGGAAGGATTGATATAACACGTAGTGCATGTCTACTGTAATTACTGATTTTATCACGGTACTTTTCTAGTATTATTACCATTTCAAGATGTGAACCCTGAGAACAGACTGTAAGGTTTGAACCACTCACACCGGGAAGGTACTCCTACTCTTTTTGATAGGTGTGAGTGTACATGTTTGACGGTCTATGCTGTATAGAATTGAATTTACCTTCAGAGTTCGGCTTCTAACTCTCTTCTTACTTAGTTGTTATGTTTACCCCATTTGTGGAAGGATTGATATAACAAGTAGTGCATGTCTACTGTAATTACTGATTTTATCACGGTACTTTTCAAGTATTATTACCTCTTCAAGATGTGAACCCTGAGACCAGACTGTAAGGTTTGAACCATTCACACCGGGAAGGTGCCCTGCTCTTTTTGATAGGTGTGGGTGTACATGTTTCGTTAAGGCCACACCAATTTAATTTCTTGGTTAACGGATTTTTCTAGAAAATAATGGAGAGGGAGGGCGAAAAAAATAAAAATAAAAACAGGCCTAGGCATCCTATTATGGCCCAAAATGGTACGATAGAAGCCATGGAGTCAACACACCAGGCTGGTTCAAAATTTAAACAATGAATTTTGAACTTTAAATGACCATTGCATTGAAAGATGGAATAACTGTAACAACTAGGATGAAAAGAACTGTTTTCAACTGTTCAGGGCAAAATATTAGCATTTTGCAGTTGATTCTGAATTTTTATTTTTATTTGCAAATCAGAAAAAAAATGAAGCGGCGAATAGGTTAACCAAGAAATTAAATTGGTGTGGCCTAACGGTCTAGGTTGTATGAATTTACTTTCAGTGTTCGGCTTCTAACTCTCAGGATAATCACACAAAACGACGAATCGTAATTTCTAGCAACAACTCAAAGCAGCCGAACCCATTTGAAGCTGTCGGAATAAAGAACCTCCCAAAAGGCTGATAGAGCAAATGACGTCAAGACTTATAAAACAAAGAACACAAGATCTGAAGAACGTTGTTTGATCCTGCTGTTTTAACATTCGGCTTCCCGTGTTCTGAAAATGAAAACTTCGATGCCTTCAAGGCTTTTAAGAGTACCATTCTGATCTAAAGCTCTCAAGCATTCTCTATATCTTAGGATCTGATGTTCAAATCATTCTATTCAATTTGACTAGTATACGGCTTGAAAGAGGCATGTGGTAGTTCAGATGTTAAAAGCCTCCTATTGCGTGACCTCCCGAAACATCAGCTAAAATGCCGGGGTAAGATGCAAATGGAAGGATGAACCTAGGAGGTGACTGCTTAGCTCGCTATAGGTAAAATGCCTGAGCAAATACTCGCGAAAAACGAAGCTATTATACGTCGATGGAGGTTAGACATCCAGGTAATACGATACGCCAAAAAGCAGTTACTCAAGCAACTGGATATGATTTTGGAAACGGTCACCGTGCGTTTTGACCGTTTCCAAAATCATATCCAGTTGCTTGAGCAACTGCTTTTTGGCGAAGCTATTATAAACGTGGCAAATGGTGCGATAGCAATTTGGTCAATGGTGCGAAAGGTGCATCGGCAGAGACAAAGAAACGAAAAAAGAGAGGTGAAAAAAAGTTAAACTGTATAATGTCAATCTAAGAACATACATCGAGTAAAAGAAAAAAACACCCTTTTTATTATTACCCAATATTAGCATATCTAGGTTCTTGCCATTTCTTTAGTCATGTTTCGGTACTGGCTATTTTTTTTTATTCCTACAATTCATGACAACACATGGTGACGACACACTCAAGTTTTTTTCAACTTATTTTATGCCGCCACCAACGCAGAGGGCAAATACGGGACAGGACAATATAGTATTAATACTTATTTTCACATGAGGAAAGTCGCGTAAAATGCCTAGCTTTCTCAGGGCCCTAGGGGCACAATGTCGGTCATGGCATGTCAGGACTCGAACCCGGGAGCTCTTGGAGTCGAGCACCCTGCAGTTGTATATATACGACCCCAATGGCAAGTTCCTTTTCCAGCAAGAACACCAAAATAGTATTGATTCAACCTAGTATGTAGATAAGTGACGTCGTCGTCGACTAAAATATTGACTGAAATTATTGCCCTAAACACCGCATTGGGTGCCTTTAATTAACATGCTATGTGTTATACAATTCCAAACCGCCTTTCTACTTCTAAGTCTCTGACACAGAATACGCGTATCTGTTGTGTATTAATTTTTCATCATTCCTTTGTAACGGTCAAACGACGCTCTATCCTCTCGGGTCTTTTGTGGACAACTGTTCTGAACAATGGACACGACTATCACATTAGCAGCCAAGTGTCAAGGGAATATCCACCAACTTTACGGCTCTCTCACTTAATGGCACCCAAAGCGATTTCCGGGCTGTAAAACTGAAATTTCAAAGTCAATTTGACTACTACTACTACTACTACTACTACTACTGCTGCTGCTGCTGCTGCTACTACTACTACTACTACTACTACTACTACTACTACTACTACTACTACTACTACTACTACTACTACTACTACTACTACTACTACTACTACTACTACTACTACTACTACTACTACTACTACTACTACTACTAACTACTGCATTCATATATATGGTCAGACAGGAGTCTAAATCACTCCTGCTATGAAATTGAAACATGATGTAACCCAACACTAGTTACCAGGGTAACAGTCTGGTTCAGGTCATTGACCTTTTTGGTTTGGAGAAGAAGAAGAAGAGAAACGTAGCAAAAACAATATGTTTTCCTTCGTTAAATATAATGATGACGAAAACATTAGAAATGACAGTCAATATCGGACTATATAAACTCATGAAAGCAGAATTCAAATGTATGCGTTAGTAGAATCCCACTACTGACACCATGTCACATACGGTCATATGTTAATTAGGTACTCACGTGACCATCACGTCATGCATACGCAAGTGAGCAAGTGTATACAACATAACTGGTGGAAATGAATCTGACTTGTTGAACTGTAATTAAATCAAACGCGGATAAAAGGTTATCAATTGATTGAATCAAGGATAGATCTGGAAGAAATGATTAGAGTAAAGATTAATAAAATAAGCTCAAATGGCCTTGGGGGAGAAAATTGTGTCAAGTCATTTTTTATGTTTACCGAAGGAAAATACATTGTTTTTGCTCTGTTTCATCTTCTTCTTCTCCAAACCAATAAGGTCAATGACCTGAACCAAGCGTCTGTCACCATGGTAACTAGTGTTGGGTTACATCATGTTGTAATTTTAAAGCAGGAGGGATTTAAACATTAAGCATTTGCTTTGCAAATAATACCTAGTGTGTCTAATTTTTTTTTCAATAATTATTTTCACAGGTACCTTAGTTCAGCAAAATGGATCCGGAAAGAACCGGAAGAAACCGGTTCACGACTTGAGAAATGTTGCAGCCGACATTATCACCGTTTCCCAGTGCTTTCTGCGGACTGTCTCTGTAGACCGCCGCCTGTATTACCACTAAGCTTGATTAGATCCATGACTGATGGCGACACGCACAGCACGGAAACTCTGAACTTTGCTAGTAGCCTCCACTACAGGCGTTCCGGGATCGATCGTTGGTGTCTTAATTTTTATTATGTTTACCGAAGGAAAACATATTATTTTTACTCAGTTTCTTCCTCTTCTTCTTCTGTTCCAAACACTAACCTCTGACCTGGCCAATGACATGGTTTGTTGACGTCTGTCACCATGGTGACTGGTGTTGGGTTACATAATGTTGCAATTTCATGGTCTGCTCTACTCCTGTCACCATATACTCGTTGTGCATGTATGTGAATGTGTTTAAGTAAAAGTTAGCAGGGCAGACCATGTCCGAAGGTAAACATTATGCATTTGCTTTGCAAATGTTACTTCTCTAG